TTTATTTGTTGATGCCAGAGAAAAGAATGTCAACAATAACAGAGGTGAGGAGAGCTTGAGCAAGATTCCCAGCCATGTCAATAAATAACAAAGATCACTTCTTTGTTGACATCTCCACAGCAGTTTAGACCACTCTTGAGCCCAAAGCCCGTGTTCCTGGCTGTAAGATTCCACCCACTCCTTTGCACAATTGGCTCTGAAAGAACTCAGTAGAAAAGTGGTTGGTTTTCAGGCAGATGGTTTGTCTAACACATGCTCATTAATGAGACTTTAAATTGCAGTGGAGATACCTGAGGTTTGAAAGGAGACAGTAATGAGAGGCAATCACGTCTATATTTGCCTAATAGGATGTTGAGCTATGAGCTAGAAGGGAAGGGAGGAGAGTCAAGAACAGCGCTCACCACTGCTCTTGCAGAAAAGGGAAAGAAACACGAGGTATGGTACTGACAAGCCAGGCCGAAACAGTGATTGGAGAAGCAATAGGTGAGAATAATTAGCAAAGCTAAGACAGGACGCTGGCTCGCTGTGCTACATGTGACTGAAGGCCAAAGAAGAGATTGGGTTTAGATAGGCTGAGAAGCTTTCACATGACAAGAGGAAGAAAAACTAAGTTTGAAGGGGATTTGGGGTAGAACCGGACAAGAGATGCAACTGGAAGACTTGTAAAAGTGAGAAGACAAGAAGCACTTCTCCCAAAGACACAAGCATACCTGTGTGGGTGCTGGGGGGTCAGAGCAGACTGAATGACTAAAGCTGTGAACAAATGACAGAGTGGGTGGGAGGAAGATCAGGAAGTGAAATAGGGTGAGGTTAATAGGGCAAGTCATGAAGTTACAAAAGACATGCAGATAAGATTTTTGGTTTTGCCACTTAGAGAATTATAGAAAGGGGAAGCATCAAGAGACTATTTTGTTAATTTTATCTTTAAAGAAAATGGTGAGATAGCAAATAGAGGAAAGCAGAAAGGAAGGCTTGACAAGGGTTAGCAGCAATGAAAAGCTAGCAAGGATTACAGACGTGCAGATAAGCTGCAGAAGTCGAATTGTTTAGCTGTAAGAAGGCAGAAATGGAGGAGAGAGCAGGCTTGCAGAAGAGGAAGTTAGCTTGATGACAGGATTTCCGTCAGAGACACTTTGCACTGCAAAAGCAAGCATGGATGAAGCAAGTGCTGAAGGTGAGCCCGTACTGTGGATAGGTATGACAGTTTATCATGAGAAACAGAAGGAAAAAAAGTCAGCGGTGGATGAAAATTGTACGTGCGGTAAATATACAGCTTGTAAGCAGATACATTTTTAGGTGCTTAATGTCAAAATGCAAATAAAGCTAAAAACTGCAAGCTTTGTTTTTAATCAATGCAACTAGTTGGTATTATTTCTTTAGCTTGTCTTCACTCTGTTATTTTCATAATTTTGTTTTTCTTTCCTTTTTTAACAGTCTACAAGACATTAGTTTTTCCACCTTCTTGCAGTATTAGAGTACAAAGTTCTGAAATAATATTTTTCCTCAAAAAGTTGCTTATCTGTTGTTACTAGAATGCAAATGCACCTGCAGCCACAATCTTTCAGTGTTATTATATTCCATGCCAGCTAAAAATAAGTGAGACAACTAAGGCTTGTTAAACCGCTTAACAGATAAGATACGGCAGCAAAGCTATGCCCAGAGAAGTATTCAGAACTGTGATGGTTCATTACATGGTAATCATGATTTTACTTTTTTTTTTTTGTTTCTTTTCTTAAAGTCACATCCCTGGCCTACAGAAGTTAGGGAAGATGCTTCAGACCAGCCTTTTAGTTATCAGTGATATTTTTTCAAGCACTATAAAGATAATATGCATAAGATGATGATATTAACACAGGGTTGTAAGGTCAGGTTTACGGAATCCAAGGCTTTACAAGAAACCTTTGAGCTTCTACTACTGTAAAAATATATGTCTTCGTTAACGAACACATAATGTTATTTTCTCTTAACATGTGGGGCCACTTTAAATTTGTAAGTCTGCATTATTAAGCCATCGTGGGAAGTGTAGCAGGAGGAAACCCAGGGTAATTGGCTGCAGCTCCAGATGCAGCCGCCCGCTCATTGGCGAGTGGAGGATTCTCGGTGGTACTAAAATTAGACAATCTCCGCCCTCCAGAAATGCTTCTGGAAACAGCGAGGAGGAGAAATTCTGACACAGGCTGAGGGCCAGTGGCAGTGAGTGAACGGCACCAGATCCTGCTCCCGGTGAAACTGCAGCGTATAACAATGCACATACACTTATTTTTTTTTAACTTGGTTAGCTGAAAAAAAAAATGCACACAGTAAAGAAATTGCAAGAGATTAATGTTAGCAGTCTTTTACACTGATATTAAATTAAACATTTCTTATGTAATAATAATTCTGAAGGCTGAGGAAGCCTTTGAACTGCTCAGTCTAACCTAGGGTTGTCAGATTTGTGCTCATTGACTTTGAAAAGAAATGACTCTTGCTGAATTAACTCTGAACTAAACTGAAAAAATGGTGAACTCTATCAGCTTTTTTTTTTTTACTGAAACATGTTTACCCATTATCTCTGTGTAGTTGCAGTGTTTACAATGCCTTCAAATTAAATATTGGATAAGTTATCTCTGTTAAAGAAACAAACACCATGTGCCTGTATCACTGAAGGAAAGTCTATCTGAATTACTCAGTCTTGTGCACTTGGAACCTTTATTTTTCTAAGGTATGTGAATAAAAACTTCGGTCTTTGATTTTTAAACATATTTCTAACTGTCTGCAAGGAAATAATTGCATAGTTTTGTTTCTCATTTCTATTTTTACATTATTTACATTACTCATGAAAAAGATTAAAGCAAAGTTGATTTTTCTTGCGCTAAAACCAGCTTTTGCAGTAAATTTGCTATTTCCTCCACTAACCAGGGTACGCAGTGCCAGCACCTATGACTCGTAAAGTGTCGTGTTCTCTTTTTTCTCCTTTGCATCTACTTTCCGTCTGATTTCATTAAAAATTTGAAGCCTATATACCTATTTTCTCTCTCTGTCCCTTTGTCAGTGTCACCCCAAGGACTCAAACGCGATGGCCAGTTCCAGCTGAATTCGCCAGCCGGCCAGAGGTCGAAACAGCACCTCGGATCCTGCAGTTTTTTTGAGAAATGGCTAATAAGAGGGGCTGAGGCCCAAAGGAGCGGAGGCATGGCCGTGGGGCGAGCTGGGTAGTTATCAGGGCCGTGTGCCGGTCCACACCCCGATAGCGCTGGGCCAGCTGGCAGGCATTCAGCACGGGGAGCTGGCCATGGCCGGCCCCATCGACACGGAGGGGACAGGGAGGCCACACCACGGCACCCAACGCTTCGGCTTTCAGGTCTCCAGCCGGGGTACGGCACCAGAGATAAATAGGGAGCAGGCAGGGAGCGAGGGTATTGGCACAATGCGGAGAAAACGTGGTAAAAATCCCCAGGGAACTCGGCTTCCCCAGCTCTGTTCATGGCTCACCTCGTTACGGTTTAACTCAGAAAACAGTGACCTTATTACTTGGTTTTGTGATAAAAGTGAAGTAGCACTGGATAGACACTGTAATTTAATAAAAAATGCTGAAAAACAGTATCAGAGCGCTGTAGATTCAGGTTAGTATGTCTGGAATGCCAGGAGGACTGTAGGCTCCCGGTGCCGCTGATGTTGATCAGGCGTGTAAACAGGAAACCTCGTGCACACTCCCACAATAAATACTGATATTTAAATAACCTGAAGAAGGGCTTGTGCGTGTGCACATTCCTTTTTCCAACAAATAACGTCACCTCAGTTTATGAACATTTGCTGTGAGACCATGCCTCCCTCAGCAGTCCTGAGCGTGAGGTATAACTGAGAGAAAGCTTTTATTATCAAGGAGGAATGAGACTTTTGATAGCTCCCCCTCGCTCACGCTGCTCCCTTCCTTATTCCCGTATCACACCACGTCCATTTAACGGGCAGATGTGGCTCCCGGTGATCCGCCCGGGCACCGGGGCCTCCCCGGCCTTGAGGCGCATTCCGAGCGCGGCGGCCTCTCCCTGCCAACACACCG